ATTAAATTTGTTCTTTATGTAAACGGAAAAATTAATTTGGAATCGCTTTATRCTGTTTCRATAATGCCGCGKCGCCGTTGTTCACTCGTTGCRGCTTCCTCGTTGCCAATGAACGAAGTTTCTTCGGAACTGGCGACGGGTACTAGAACTTCTTTGGCAATGGGAACACCGTTCAGYTGCGTGGCATGAAGCGGCGCTGGGGAATGCGTGTCGTGCGGTGTGCCATTATGCACCGTTATAGCAATCGGCTCGTAATTTAGCGCACGTGATGGCGTATGCGCACGCGTCGGTGTATTAAGATGTGAAGAATTGGCACGCGAGTGGGGACTGTTGTTGCGCGAATGTTGAAAGTCCTCGAGCGGTATCTCCTCAGAACTGCAATAAAAAGTTGCGTTTAATRYATTAAAGCTTTAATATGACATGAAATGCTTACCGCGGTCTGGGCATGCGCGGACTGTTGTCACGCGAACGTGTTGCGCTGCGACTTTGTGAATTATCACGCGAGCTGCGCGGCGAATGCTCACGTCCCGGTGATGAGTTGGCATCGCGATTTTGCGACGTCGACGAATGTGAACTGGAATTGGAATTGCGTCGACGCGGACGGCCGGCACTCTCATTTCGTATGCTAAACAAAGTGAATGAAAAATAATTGTGATTATGTATGTATAATATAAGTGGGGAAAAAGTAACTAACACTAACCCCTCAATAGAGCGATTCTGTGCCATTTGAATGCGGCACACGCCGCCAGCGCTAGTGGTGTCGCGCTTTAAAGCCGCYGCAAAGCCGGGCACACGGTTTGTCGTCGTCAGTATGGGACGATGGTCGCGCGAGGAACGCGAACTGCTGCTGGCAACACTGCCCGCGCGTAGACCAGCCACCGCATACACGGGCGAGTCAATCACTTGGCCGGGCATTTCAATTAGCTGCGCGATCTGATACATTTTCTTCTGGCGCGCCTTGCTGCGGCCCTGAAAAAGCAAAAAACTCTTAAAAAAAAAGAATACTGAAATTATGGAAATGTATAATGCACCTTGGTCAGTCTTTGCTTCGCTGCCATACAACGAATGTGATCATCAAAGAGGAATTTCGCCGACAGCASCGGTGTACGATTGTGCGTCGCGCCGCCACGGTGTACCGTAATGTGCAGGCAGCGCGAGTCGTCCTTATCGCCCACCACTTCGACATCCTGCAGGAAGCCAACGAATTTGGCGACACCCCAGCCCAACAGTTTGGCATCTGGTTCCACGAGTATTAGCTGCAGTGAATCGATGACGAGAAAGCGTCGCTGTTTTGTGCTCTCCTTAGTGATTACAGTGCAGGCAATTAAATCGCTATTATCTACATTCAAAAACTCATTGAAACTGATAAAACAAAATTCCAATTTATAAGGCGCTTACTTAAATCGAGCACATTATCCACTTGCACGAGATTCATTGCGTTGGTTAACGGCAGCAACGTTTCTTTTTCATTCAGAAATTGTTGGCACGTTTTGCGTAGCAGAAAGAAATCACGTATGGCGCGACGTGCCTTCTCTACTTCGCCACAGGGCAGGCGACGCGTGAAATTTATACCGGTTAACGGGGTGCCGGTCGGCGGAAGCAGTATCGTCGAATCCATACAGAGGAATTCGACATTCAAATTTGTCTTGCGCATCTCGTTGAACTCATCCTCGAACAGATCGAGAAAAATATCTTCAGACTTATAGAAATTACGCAACACCACCATAGACTGGTTACGTGCGGAAAAGAGTGCATCACGCTGCGCCTCTGTAATGCAAGCGTCGTCCGTACAGGGTTTCGTAAAGGTGACCAGCAGCTGTAGCGCAATCTCAATGGTTATGAGACGTATACGGCAGGCTGTGGGTGGTGAAAAGAATACATATTAGAAAAAGTTGTATTTAAAATGCATTCAATTCCATACAAGGCTGATTCGATAACGTAATAATGTGCAGCAAGCGTTCTATCAGCTCAGTTTTGTAGCTGTACGGTCCTTTGGCCGATTGGGAGAGAACCTGTTCGAACCAATCGTTTTTGACACCTACACACGCACGAGAAAAAACAATGGAAAGAGATATTTTAGTTAAAATTGCGTGCAAATTTAGTTATGTATGAAAATATTAAATTGATGAAATATACAAATGCATATACATACATACATACATATAATATATACAATGAAACTGAGCATCGTACATACCATCTACAGTGTTGGTTTATGAAGCATATAGTAGTAGTGAGAAACACATCACCATTCGAGTTTATTTTGGAATGGATAGCATTACAAATGAAAAAGTAGAAAATATGACGGACAATAAGTGCATTAGTAAGTTGATTTAGCGTTTGTTAAAAGGCGATTAAATGAATGCAAACTACCATGTTGAACACGTAATAAAATATAGGCAAATTGTTGTTGTGGTCAAATGCCCGTATTTTAATTAATAACCTATAAAAAGCTAAAACACTCACCCCTGTTGTAAGCCATTGCGTAAATTAGGCATAAGGACAAAAGTGCCAGATAATCATTCTCCGTACAATCCAAGGCCGACAGTACCATTTCCAAGAATGGACGATTCAACTCGTTAAATGCACGCGCTGGTTGCACCAGCTTTTGTATTTTTTCCTTCTCCTCGTCGGTGATGTTGGCCAATTTGGCGTTATTTAATACAGCTTGTGCCGCGGCACTAGCGGTCTCCATAGAAATCCCACACATACCGCTTTCTGCACATTGCTCTTCTGTTGTTGCTGTATTGGACGTGGATTCTGCGGTATTTGCTCCAGCTACTTCTCGGGCACTGCTCGCGGTAGCTGGTGCTTCTAATGTATTATGTAAGTTGTCAGTATCGTAGCTGTGGCTCGTGGAATTGGCACCGACCGTCTCCAATGCTTGCTCTAAGCTTTCACGTGGCTCCCCAAACCCAGGTACAACTGCTAAACGGTGCTCTACGTAGGCGTTTAATATTTCAGCAGCGCCCTCTTTAAACACACTGTGATCTCCATTGAGTATTACCCAGGCGAGCGCATGTACCAGCGGTGCATGTGTGATAACTAAGAATACCAGCGACAGCAAGTATAATGCGACAATTGACGAAACACGTGGATTRTTGATTTCTTGTATATCAATATCTACGGGACGATTTAAGACGGCTGCGAGATTTTGTGTGACCACTGCGAGTGATGTGGGCGGCGGCGCAGGCGTGAGTGAGAAAATATATAGCGGTACGAATAGTTTGTGTAACAGATGTTCGGTAAGTACGGCATTTAAATCATCTATTTCGAGTAATAAAATATCATTCAGGTAATGTAAATGATCTAGATGTTCTGCGACTAAGTTTGAAAGCCTCTGATTAGACTGATGACTGCATAAAGGAATTTGATTATTTTTTTATTACCAGAAGTTTAAAAGTAATCACTTACTCAATGTCAGTTCTTACGCAGGTGTCCAATTCCAAAATATGCTTGCCTATAAACCATACTAAGTTGCTGAAATAAGGCGCGGCGGTTCTGTAATTTCACATAAAWACACAGTTTATACAATTCCATTTATTTTGAATTTCTTCAGTGCATACTTGTCTCTAATAAACCTCAACATACTGGCATTCTGTACTTTATATACATTTAACGAAATCGTGCGGACTGCTATTCGAACCATAGATTCTGGATGATTAAAGAATTTAATAGCCTCTGTGTATAGTGGAAAGTCATTGGTATGCTAGAAAACAATATAGAAAATTATTTTTTTTTTTTTTCAAATAATTTTTATATATCAAAAATTTCATCCTTACTTCGTTATAGAAGAAATGTATGGTATGCGTGTTCAGTTTAAGGCTGAGCGTCTTTAGAAATAAAATGTAATAACCCATTACATCTTCATCAGAAAAGTCAAACTTGTGTACAATTATAGAATTGACATGATTGTTGCTCAAAAGATAATCTATAAAAACCAAACAAAAAAATAATAATTTTTGTGACCCACTTATTTATGTTATGCTTGCTCAAGCATTSTTACTCACACAAAGATGTCTCATTTCGTATATTTTCAAATAAAATATTTAATGTTTGCAATAATTGCACACAAACAAAACTTGAGCCACCGCTCTTTTGGCGCATTATATGTAAAAAGTAGGACAGCATGTTTTTCTCAAGGAAAAAACTGCAAATAAAGTAAAATGATTTATTACCATTTCCCACTGGCTTTGTACACAAATCTATAGYATATACATATGTAAATGCAAAATAATTTCGTTACGCACTCAAACACGGAAGAGTCATGCTGATCACCCCAGATGAGTATTTCTGCAATACAKCGCAGCGACTCCACTAATAAACCACGATTGCTTTCGGAAACAGTGGTATTCTTCTCYAATATACTGTACAGGTACTTAAGGTGTTCCAATGAAAGACGATTCTTTGGGCGGTTCCAGTTTCCACCAAACCAACTTCTACTACGAAACATTTTTGTTTCCTTTCCTTTTTTTATCAAAATATCAAATTAGTATAATTATATCTGAGATTTCCGTATCTTCTTCCAGTGYATAATACTTTTTTACGAATTTGTCATTTAATTACGTTTCACTTTAGCCTTTAATTGCTTCATCTAATACGCAAAGAAAAAATACACTTTTTTATTTCTACGTTGACGGTTGAACAAAATATTGGCACCTGCTGTTGCCACAATCTGTCAGTAACATATGATCGCAATATCATTTTTGGCGCCGTTGAACATTTACTCGGCGCAGGTAAATTTATAAAATTTATTATATGTTAGCATATAACATTCAATTAAAACTACAAGATATTAATGCATTTAAGTTTTTTTATTATACATTTGGAAATAAAATAATTATTTTTAATTAATTTTCCGAACTTGCTATCTACAATCGGTTTGCTAATGTTTATTATAGTTTTAAAAAAATTATATTTTCTGAGGCCACAATTGGGAAATACTCTTTGAGGTTATATTGAATTCAGATTCTGGTTACCGAAAAAAAAAATAGGGGGCAGCACTGTGCAAGGACAAGCAAATACTCAAATAGCTCAAAAAGTAAACAAATAAAAAATATTTTTTATATGATAGGATTTATAAATATATTAGAATACTATGGGTGTAAAAATTTTAAAATTCAAATTTAGTATCAATATTCCCACATTTGTGTCACCAACGCAATAGCATTATCGTTACCATAATGTTGCCCCATTTTAAGTGCTATATACATATGTATGTATACATATGACTACATTAATTATTGTCTGCCAATGCAAAATTTTACAGATGCCGATTGCTATAGCTTCGTAGCTAAAGGATACCATGTTTTCTAGTCATGCACATCTGAAAAGACGCACACCTGAGAAAGGAATCCCACGTTCTGATTACATTGAACATCTGGTAGAAGAATATCACACCACTACAAACATTGGTGAGAAATTTTCAAATAGCTGAGAACATTTTAAGCAATTTACTTTTGCATTCCTAGAGGCCAAGGAACAAGTGACTGCTAATTTGGCTAATTTTGCTTATGATCCTATAAATTGGAGGTATCTAAAAGAATCTGGTACCTTAGACGTGTTTGAAGATTGCATGAAGGGTCCAAATGAGCGTTTACAGTTACACGCTATTGCCGGTTATTGCAACATATGCTTAGGTAATACTACTTTTGATAATGCTGGCGAAAACATTATAATATTTTCTATTTCTTAGATCCTGTAGCATTTCAATTTATTACAAATTTAGAGATCCTCGCTCAAATAAACAACCTGCTTCACGCAACGGAATCAGCCGACATACAGCTTAATTGCATAGCTCTGTTATATCAGTTACTCACAGCTGACTTTTGTACAAAAGAACAGAAAGCTTTAATTGCTATACCCAGCTTGATAAAACAAATTACACAACTACGAAACGAAAGCACAGATCCGAGAGTAAAGAATATCGCGACACTGTTTTGTGAAGATTTTGGATCGCGTATAGAGGAGGTAGAAGATTTCAAAAATGTACTCGCAACTTTTAAAACGCTTCAATAGTCAAGTAGCGACGAAATGTAGAGAGATTACTGTAGTAAAAAGGTTCACACAGGAAGAACTAGATCAATTTTCTACGCTTACCGCCGATTATAATCCTATACATTCTACAGAGACATCAATAACCGAACGTAAAGTTCATGGTGCTTTCCTCAATGCCATTGTGGCTGGCATAATTGGTTCACAAATACCTGGGCCGGGTACTATTGTTTTAAGTCAAAAGTTTAGATTTCCTAATGCATGCCGTGTTGACAAAGCTGTAAATATTACTGTTCGTTTGGTTAATGAACGCAAAATTGCTTTAGTGGAATATGAGTGTAAACAGGATGAGGAACTTGTTTTCATTGGCGAAGCTAAACTTTTAATAAAACAATGATATAACTTAGAATATCTTTATTTTTAAAAATTAACAGAGCTGCTCTATTTCTTCGCTCGCTTGCCTTCACCCTTCTTTGGTGCGGCTTTACCACGTAGTCGTCTCAAACGTTTCATTTCCTCTTTGAAATCTTCGTGTTCATCACGGAATAAGCCRTACGCACGCAGATTTTTCATGAGAATATGTGTCTCTACATGTCGGGGATACCAATTATTTAACGAATCGCGCTTATGGACCGGCTCCTCCGCGAACATGCGAACTACCTTCATCGACTTTTCATTGGTTGTACGCGCGACTTCACCGAAAATGCGATTKGAAAGGAAATTCATACGACGTGCATATTGTGTACCCAACTTAATTAATTCATTATATTTGTTCGATGCCATTGTTGACCAAAAATCGCGTATTTAACTTTAAATGAAAATATTTTAGGAAAAATCTAATTATTATTATAATTATATCAAAGTATCTTTGGTTATGTCATTTCTAACAGATATCAGCTGATCAGGCAGATTTGCATTGACTTACAAATAAAAACTTAAAACAGAMAAAATATTTAATTTAGAAATTATAAAATAAATAAATCATATTATATGATATTACATATTTTAATTTGTAAAAAAAAACTATGTTTTCGATAATTTTGTATTATATTTATAGAAAAATTTCATTATTGACTTGCAAAGGAACCTTATTATTACAATTTTATTATTTCATATACCCGAGATTATCTTGCACCAAGTTTGCGCATTTAATTATGACGTGTWAAACAAAGTTAATTAGTTAAAAAATGGCTTAAAAAGTTATACATGAAAACTTATAAGTTTGCAGATTAATTCTTACAATACATGAGTTCAAATATTTCCATTCAATAAAAATATTGAACAGTATTTCTAATCGGTACAAACAGACAACAAGTTTAAGAGGTCAAATCACAGATGTCGCTCTGTGTAATACTGTTCGTTTGTAATGTTAAGAAACTGCAGCTTGCTTCTACAACTTCCCGAACAAACACTTTCTTTCTGACATCGTCGCTCAAAGTGATCGGAAGCGTAGAAAACTTTTCTGACAAATGGTAAGATTTTCTTAATAAAATTTAAGCAAGAAAAAGTAAAAGTGGTTARCGTTGTTTTTTGTGATCATTTGGTCGTTAATAAAAGTATAAAATCAAAATCATCCATAACCTCTAAACACATTTGTACACGTGTTTCTAAATTTGCTGCAACAAATTGTTCGTTATTAAGTTTTGTTATAATATAAATTTTCCAAATATATTTTGGTAGTCTCATCGTAAATTCTCCGCCCCTCGCCATGGCTCTATGGCGTTCTACCCCAAGAAGCGATCAGCTCGCCATCGTGGTAAGGTTAAGGCCTTCCCCAAGGATGATGMCAGCAAACCAGTGCATTTAACATGCTTCATTGGTTACAAAGCTGGTATGACCCACATCGTTCGTGAAGCGGACCGTCCTGGATCCAGTAAGTTTGAAATTATTTATATCACACCTTTAACTTCCATGATGATAAAAAGTTAATAATTTATGGTTAGAACACAAATGATATCCATGATTATAATATAACTAGGGCGGACTGATTTCTCTACCGCAAATTTATTTAAAAGTTAGCTGAACACGTGTTTCTAACGTTACTTCTTTCCGTTTGCAGAGATCAATAAGAAGGAGGTTGTTGAAGCCGTAACTGTTTTGGAAACTCCACCAATGATTGTTGTTGGTGCTGTAGGTTACATTGAGACTCCATACGGTCTCCGTGCTCTCGTCAATGTATGGGCACAGCATTTATCCGAGGAGTGCCGCCGCCGTTTCTACAAGAACTGGTATGTTAAGTTTCAATATAACATCAAATTACGTTTGTATTGTAAAGTGGAATTAGATCATTTGGTAAACACGTGTTGGTTTCTTTTGCTTTAAATGATGATAGATGGTAGCTGACTACTTTGAAGATACGAAATTATACCATCCCTGACTGCCTTCCTTCTGATCAAAGTTAAAAGAAATCTACATTGTTTAATTGTTATAAAAATATTGTTTGCTTCATATGAGAGTATTACTAAAAGGAATATTTAAAATTAAAGTTCTTGGATCAGCTTGCTGAGAGAGCTTTTAAAATCTGTACAAGTCGTGTGAGCGCCATATTGTTTACCRAAAGTTCAACTCTTTTTTGGTTTTGGTATTCTGATATGTGAAATTTCGTGAGCACGGCATGGAAGAATAGATCTCCGCTCGCTTTAATTGCGATGAGGTCGGCTTCCATTTTTTCTTTTTTGCCAGTCAAATTCACAATAGCAAAGAAGTTGAGTGTTGCGCCCACCCAATGGAGCTGAAAGAAAACTCCCTGGCTGCAAATTTGTTCCACTAAATGCACTCATTTACGGTGTCCGTCGTAACTGCGTAGATATATRTATTTGATGAATGCAATCTGATTCRATTCAGGTACAAATCAAAGAAGAAGGCTTTCACCAAATCCAGCAAGAAATGGGAAGTTGATTTGGGCAAGAAGAGYATTGAAAATGACTTCCGCAAGATGCTCCGTTACTGCAAGGTYATCCGCGTTATTGCTCATTCACAGGTAATTACGAATAATATATAGTCATGTCATTCATTAAATACGCGACGTCCTTGGTTCACGGCGTCAGATGCACACTGCAGTCTTCGGATGAATGGGTGTATCTGATGTAGTGTTCCTAAAAGGCGGTCTTGCTGTGATGGTCAATACACAGTTATATAACCGCAACGTCGCAGAAAAAATTGCCCTTCGGGTGCGATCCTTGATATATTCCACTAACTGTGCATAGCCGCTTAGGCGATAACCGCACAGTTAAACCATATCACGGACAGTACTAATTCAAATTTCATCACACTTACATGTATTCTTACAATATTATAATGCCATATTTTTCCACTTCAATTAGATCCGTTTGATTAAGCAACGCCAAAAGAAGGCCCATATCATGGAAATYCAATTGAACGGTGGTTCTATTGAAGATAAGGTTAAATGGGTTCGTGAGAACTTGGAGAAACCTGTGCAAGTCAGCAATGTCTTCGGACAGGATGAGATGATTGATTGCGTTGGTGTTACYAAAGGTAAAGGTTTCAAGGGTGTTACTGCTCGTTGGCACACCAAGAAATTGCCACGCAAGACGCACAAGGGTCTGCGCAAGGTTGCTTGTATTGGRGCCTGGCATCCATCTCGTGTGTCCTTCACCGTCGCACGTGCCGGTCAAAAGGGCTACCATCACCGTACCGAAATCAACAAGAAGATTTACCGCATCGGTGCYGGAATCCACACCAAGGACGGCAAGGTAAGACCAAAATTCTTATTGCTCTCGATTTTATTAGAYTGCCTTGATGATAAACTCATAAAGTTCCGACATCAAACAAAACTTTTTATTGATATCAAAATGATAATCAAATGATAGGACTGATTGCATAACACGYTGAATTATATGTATGTGAAAATTTTAAACAAATCACTAATTAAATATTATTTTCCGAACATTACAGGTTATCAAAAATAACGCCTCCACCGAGTACGATTTGACCGATAAGAGCATTACACCCATGGGTGGTTTCCCCCATTATGGTGAAGTCACCAATGACTTCGTCATGCTCAAGGGTTGTTGCATTGGCTCCAAGAAGCGTGTGCTCACACTCCGCAAGTCTTTGCTGAAACACACCAAGCGCTCTGCTTTGGAACAAATCAAACTCAAGTTCMTCGACACATCGTCGAAGATGGGTCATGGTCGTTTCCAAACCCCRGCCGACAAATTGGCATTCATGGGTCCACTCAAGAAGGATCGCATCAAGGAGGAGGTTGCCGCCGCTGGTGCTGCCACCACTTCGGCTACCGCATAAATGTAAATTTATGTTTGTTAATTGTATTAACACTTCATTACCACATTGATTGTGGTATAAAATAAAATAAATAGTAAAAACCAWAAGTTTTTCTTTTAATTTACTGTACAATAGCAATGATGATGTTCTGAGTAATCTTAAGCAAAAGAAAACAAAATATTTCAGACGTCATTTCGCAGAATAGAGGACAATCAGTAATTAACTGTCGCAGATAATACATAGTGCCGATTAATATTTGTCATAAGTATTGGTTCGTGCACTGTTGCCAGGGCGGTTTCAGCGACAGTAACATTCAGCATGCGTCATCTTGGCAACTGTATGTGTGTTTACTCTTTTAGTGTTGGCTACTCTGACTCCAAACGTAGTGAATTCAATCATACTTGCAATGAAGCCAACTAAGGTGCTATCGCCCTAATTGGTTACCATTTTATATTTGGGATCTTAATCCTAATGGAGGAACTACGAAATTTTTTAAATGTAAAAGAGCTATGGCATTGGTTTTTCAACGTTGTTGTAGCGGAGGGAACAGAAACTTTGTTACTTGTTTATGATGATAAAAACTCTTTAATTATCAATTATTACATCTTTTATTGTTTCATATTTTAGTAAATTTAACTTAAATAATCATACATAAAAATAAGCGTTTGTTTATTTATAACATCGTTCAACGAAAAATTTTAGTTTCTTGYATTTTTTTATAAATAGTTCATTCCAACATTACAAAACTACAGTACTAACTATTTAGCATCTCTGTTCAGTAAACTTTGTATTCATTAGTTTGCATATCACAGGCAATATAATGCCRTCATTATTCCTAAGTAAAGTGATTTTATCATATCCATCATTATTTTTTATGCTTAACCTGGAGAAATTATCATACGTATCATTTAGCTAAAAATTATGTATGAAAATATTTAGTATGTATGTTATGTAACTGTTATAGTATGAGAGTCCCAGCTCTTAACGAGGATTTCAGTTTGGTAAGAATTTGCAGCAAATCCTTGATGCACACATTTCGCTTGTTATTCTGAATATCTGTACATATGTATATGTAAAAAGAAGTGGTTTATTTTTATTGAGACTGTTTTGTACTGGAATAAAAAGTGAGAAAGAAAAAAAACATAAAATTAAAAATGAATTAACAAAGAGTACAAATTGAGTGAATAAATAAATCTGAGTTACATAACACATTAAACATAAAGTATATTGCGTAAATTGATTGGCGATTTGTCATATTTATGAACATGCATGTGATCTGACAAAATTCATATACATATATACTACTTGTGGCTTTGGTAACTAACAATTTGCACATGYATATATTTATGTGTGTATGTGTATGATTACATTATTCTCTTAACTCTATTTCTTAAATAACATAATCATCAATTGGCATTCATTACTTTTCTTTGGGTGTTTTGTTAAATATATATTCGTTGGCCATGCTATAGCCGAGACCCAATGTCAGCGCCCCGACAACGGTTCCTTGCGCCGCAACACGAAGTTGCATTAGGAAAACACTGGTGCTCATTGTGCCACGGTTCTTATATTTATAAGCACCAATAATGCCAGCCGCTACGAAGCCAGCCAAACCTGCAAATATAAATTCATGGAAAAACAGTTGTTAATCGCATAATATGATATAATAGAGAAACGCGACGTACATTTGTAAGTGTATTGAAAAAAAAATCAGAAACAGCTGTAAAGATAAACAAGTTTTTAAATGCACTAGTGTGYGATTTCGTGGAAATTTTCATTACTATTTTTCGCATTCTTTTGTGAATAATGATATATTATATTTATATACATATGTACATTATATATGTATGTATGTACATAAGTTCATTTTGCACCTCGCACACTCAACAAGCGTTTTGAGGCAGGGAGGCAAACGCAATTTTTTCTACACGTGCACTTCAAAACCAAATGATAGGTATACCTGCACTCATATAAAGACATATTTTAATTTAAGAGACAATTCTATTACGACAAAGAAGTCGACATACTYATCAGATAATTTGTGCTTACAAACACTTTATTGATATAAATTATAGCTTCCGGTTTTTGTTTTTAACCAGTCTGTCTTCACTGCAAACTTATACATCAAACATATATAAAAATAGTAATCGTGGGGGCATAAAAATTTGGGAATAATTTTACTTCCGTGGATATTTATAACRAGAACTTGTTGCACTTCGAACTATTTACATATACCATTAAAATATTRAAAACACAGGAAATCTCTATGAACATATACCTGAATTAACTAATATGGACTATCTAAGACGCATRTGAATTGCTCAAAATTCGAGCATTAGCTGCCAGCGTGTACGCTAASTCGAAAGAAAAAACATAWAAAAAARRACAGTGCACAGCAACAATTGCAAATTTTCGCRAACTTAATAAAAATTATTTAAAACTACCCAATTATCTTCTTTATAAGTGTATACTGAAAAGCTATGCACTTTGTTCAAGAATCGAAATATATTAATRCTCACTATTATGCGAGTATGAGTATTACATCATCATTATGGACTTCTTCAAAATTGGCAAGCAATTAAATTTGTTATACATATATTTTGAAGGATGATCAATATGGTTTTGAACACTTATAAGAAGAAATTAAAGTGAACGCAGGATCATGTCTGCAATCATTGGATTGTTGAGAAGCGATATTCAGTGAATGTTTAAAGTGGCGCACAGGAAATGATAGCGCATTAATTTGTTTGAAAGTTTTTTCAATTAAGATAGGAAATACATTTAGTATATGTATGATTTAAACAATATAATAGTAATTAAATACAAGCACAATTACATTGTTGTTGTGTAATATAGAAAAAAAATTAAAATTGCAGGCGTTCCCCGATGCGTGTATGACACAAAGCATGGTCAAGGTCAAATGCCAGTCTCAAATATTTCCTATTTCGAATTAATTTGTAATACAGATGAAATATAAAAAATTAGTTTAAAATGTTTCCGATGGCATGACCAACAATCTCTACTWCGTCGTCGTGGCAAGTAACTATTATAACTATGATTAATTATGTAAAACCTTCAGGGTTTCTCCATTTACCAATAATCATGAATGGCGAATCCTTTATTTTTCTGGACAGTTTTCCACCTTGGCTTTCGTCGCGCGAATCCTCAAAATACGATTTAGAACTCATTTTCACTGTTTAATATTTGTGGTGTTRGAGAAAGCAACAAGCGTTTTTGTTTAGTAAGACTTTTCTTTTTTTGCACACTTTTGCACTTTCGGATGTTTAAACTTTTCCACTGAATCCAACGATTACTGCTCGTGACGACGGTCGATTAACAATTGGTTGAAAATCAATCGGTGGATATTTATATGTATCGAAACTTTTTTAGAGATGGAAATATTTTTTGTTCAAATATACAAAATTTTATGTGTTAATATGCTTTCAATATGCAGATGCAAAAGGAAACGGCACTTAACTTAAACCTGAAGATAAATATTGTAAACAAAAATCTTTGCAGTAATAATTAATAAATAAAATAGATATCGATTATTTTCAGTTTACAAAGTCAACTTGATTAATATAAAAATATTTTTTATCAAATAATATTTTAAATGGTTCCTGACTTTTGCGTTAAGAACAAGGAGGCAGTTTCAGTTTAAAATCCCTTTCCTTTACGAGTGTAGTGAAGCACTTGTTTCAGACGTGTTTTTCGATAAATAGTCATGGGCTAAAATTTGTTGATTATATCGAACTGTTATCGGAAGAACCGGCTGTGCAATTTTGTTATATTAGCGAATTGCTTTTTTTTTTTTTTTAATTATTTCACAACAATCAAAGCAACATTTACAAGTAAACAATTGCTGGCTTATCAATGGCGAGCTCCAGCTCAAATCTAAATTGGAATCCGAATATCGATGTGTTACTTAGCGACAGCGAAGATGACGATGATGAGACAAAGCCAAAYTATAAAGGGCGGGAAGCGCTCATGTTCGTGGTGGACGCTAATCTCTACGCAGAGTATGAGAGATTTGCTGAGGCACTGGATATTGTGCGTAAAGCATTAATATCCGGGTTGCTTGTAAACAGTAATGATTTAATTGGTATTGTATTTGCAAATACTGAAATGAATCCGGATCCATATGAAGCTAGCAGTTTGGATAATATTGTTTTGCCACAAAATTGCGCGGTTTTCTTACCACTCCGCGCATTATCGAAATCAATAGTTGAACATTACTTGCGCTTTATGGAAACTGCTGAACAAGAATTTGGGGCCAACTATGGTATCGCAGGTAATGGCGGGCAAGCTGATTTTGCTGTTATGCTACGCTTGTGTATAAATCTATTTGAAAACGCCGGCTATAATCTGGTTTCTTCGACATTGGTTTATCTTACTGACAGAGCCACTCCCCATCCTCCCAATTCAAATTTATATCAAAGAGCCTTACAAAAAGCCAAAGATCTGGAAGGCAAGGAAATCGAGTTTCAAGTGATACCTATGGTTGATGAATTCGATTATGAGCCATTTTACAAAGAATTTATAACGCTGGTTGAAGGTTTGTGAGAAATTTATTTTTAAGTTGCATTTCATAATAACTTTATTACAGATGGAAATATTGCTGATTTTGAGCCAAAAAATCCCGAAGAATTACGTACACTATTATCTGATCGTAAGCTGCGACAAAACGTTTTAAGACGATCGTTGGGTCATTTCAAATTGTCGYTGGGCCCAGATTTGGCGATATCAGCTCTCTACTATAAATATTTCAAAGCTCGTTTTATGCCACGAAAAGTGCGGCTTTTGCGGAAAGACAATTCAATTGTACAACAAAAGCGTGTTATTATGGTGCGTAAGCAGTCYCAAGAAACTATGGAAATTGCTGAAGAGTACGTAGTTAAACAAAGTGGTGGTTGGCACGAGATTAACCTGGGTGACATGAGAATACGCATTACACCGGAGCAAATAAATCGTGTCCGAAACTTGCATGCACCCGGCATGATGTTACTTGGCTTCAAACCGATTTCTGAATTGCCAGAAAATTGGTATTATAAACCACAAAACTTTATGTATCCCGATGAGAAAGGTGTTAAGGGATCAAAAGGTCTATTTCGGGCACTTTGGGAACGATGTTTGGAGCGAGATAAAATGGCTATTTGCCTATTCATGCGTAAACGCAAATCAATTCCACGTTACGTTGCCTTAATACCCGTAGAGGGTACTGCTACAGAGGACGATACGTCCAAACCCTTATTATCAGGTGATGGTTTCAAGATAGTATATCTGCCTTTTGCCAAGCACATACGAAATATAGATTTTGCTAATTGGAACAGCATGCAAAACGACTCACCAGAAGAAGGTGTGAAAGTTTTTGAAAAAGTTGTCAGTAAATTGCGTACAACATTCCAATCTAATTTTCTTGTTGATCCAACTGTGGAGGCATTGCAATCTAATATACTTGCTTTAGCTTTGAATATAAAAACTGACAATGCCGGTTTGAGTGGAATGCCGGATGCCAAGCGGCAGGATGAACGCATTGCAAAAATCTTGCCACGAATAAACGAAATATTCGGCGATGATGTTGAGGTAGCAAAAAAGCGCCCGGCAACTGGTGCATCAAATGCAAATGCACCTAAAATACCTAAAGCGGATGCGGATAGTTTGCAGCAACTTAGCTACGTGCAACAGTTGGCGAGCAATGATACGCTGGGTAGTTGTACTGCTGCCCAATTGCGTGATATTTTGAAAACACATTTTGATGTGCAGGTTCCCTCAAAAATGATCAAGCAGGATTTGATTGCTCGAGTGAAGGAACTAATTGATTGATTTGTTGTTTTTCTTTGCTTTTGTTAATCTGCGTTTTCGGTAATAGTTTTCGAAAATTGTAGATAAATACAAAAAGATACTTTTTTAAGAGAGCGTATTTTATTATAATCGTACATAAATACATACAAATGTAATAAAAA